AAAAAGGTCGGCAAATAGCTCCCGAAATCGAATCCGAATCTGATCAGTAGTGACTGGATGATGCATCTCGAACCCGAAGGTTCTGCTTCTGTGGGGTGTCTCTTCAGAATAGACAATCAAAAGAGGCCAGTGCCCAGCCACCAATAGGGCTGCGTCCATGCCTGCTTTGAGGAGTGCAGGCTGGTACACGATCGTCCTACGTACCCAGAAATAGGCCTCAGCATCCACATGAGCGTTCGCAGTGGGAGGAGGCTGGAATTGGAATAGTCCGTTTTCATCTGACTCTAACAATCTTTTGCCTCCTTCCTTTGTGAAAGAGACCCGATCGACGGCAACATCTTGTGCACTACATTCCCCTTGTTGTGTCTTTTTGCTACTGACATCAAGAGTAAGAAAGGACCCTGTGTGGAATTTTATGACCTGATCACCAACAAATACCGCTGACCGGCTGCAGCCTCGACACAAAGCAATACACTGTTTGCACTTGTGCCCTAGAAGACATGCGCGGGGTCAAATGTTCCCCTCTAACAGCAGCCCTTTCGATAACATGCGGTGCGGGTTCGTTGTGATCAACAACATCGACTAAAAAGGTTCTTTCTTCGTTCTCATAATGATCAGCAGGCACAAACAGGAGATTGTCCTCTGGCAGGGAAAGCTGACTCACTGCTGGGAAGACCATAAGAACAATGGGATCAGTCTGACCACCTAGAGCATACCATAATTGAAGCGGGTCATTCCACGACCTACTGCCTGGACGGGATGAAAAAAGAGTCACAGAAAGTGTCTGAACCCAAGTTCCTTCTGGAAGGACCCATGCTGACATCTCGTCAAAACGTGGGTTTCTCCATAGTCGACTACGGACAAAGTGGTTCCATAAGCGCCAAGAAGATTCTTGCCCTGCATAAAGCCTGACTGGTGTAAAAATAGGCTCATAGCCGTTTGCAATTGCTTGTTCTGCCGCTGTTCCGACCACCTGCCGGACTTGCATCATAGCCGACTCCTCTTGCCCATCTTCCGCCGGGGTTGCAGTGTTATCCCCATACTTCGCATGTTGCGGTAGACCGACAGGTCCCTGCAACCGCTCGGTTCCTTCAAGAGGTACTTCTGCGCTGTTTGGTAGGCAGTTCTTCTTCATGTTCACGAAGACCAGGTGCACATAGGAGCAGTCCGGAACAGCCAAGATTTGATCACTGCGGAACGTGACCTGGGTCTCGCCATCCCTTTGGGAGTATAAAGCATATACTTGAACATCATTGCGAGCTTGAGGCATAGCCGTGGTCTTGGCTGCTTCTTTGACAGTCGCTGTTCGAAGTATAACAAATGCCTTTCGCCCCAGAAATTGCCATCCGGTACCATCGCTCGGGCTTTCGGCCTCCCAGATGTCAAAAAGGTGCACAACACAGTCCTGCTGCAAGACTCGATTCTCCACCGCAATAACATGAAATTGCTTCAGTTCCCCGCCACTTACCACTGGCGGCTGCGGGTCAACCGAAATAATGACTGGTGTCTTGAATGAGTCATCCGTTTTCCAGTAGGACCTGAAGGACCGGGCCCAGTTTGTCCCTTCTAGGAGAACTCTGTCGCATTCGTGTGCGATAGGTGTAGTAGAGCTTATCCTCCACGTTGCCAACACCATCGAGTCACCTTCATACTCAAGAACATTCCGAACCCAATTCCGAAGCCCATCTCTCTTGACAAAATTTTGTGTGGCGAAGTTCGCAATTTCATACATGGGGATCTGATGGTCCACTGCCCTAGCAAATCTCATTGCAGTAATAGTAACCGCTTGAGTGTTGGCGAGCTGTGCCAATTGCTGCTGCATCAGGAAACTACCATCATGTGGATTGATTTCATCCCTGAAGCGGACAGGGGTTGCAGTGTTGTCCCCCTCTGTCGCTATCCAGGGGAAGCTCTCACATACATCCTGCACTCCCTCCGTAAAAACCTGGACCAGGTCTCCGTGCTTCCATTGCTTGCCTAAAGACTCCGCTTGGAATTTACGGACACTGTGTCTGTGATCGAAGGCACAGGCACAAAAGGCATGGCATTGGCTTTGCGTCCCTTGGTCACCCCCACACGTGTTATGAACAAGCCCGGCAGGTGGACCCTGCCCATCAAACACAAGGAAGTGCCAGGACTCTTGGTATGTATAGAAAGCTGGCTGTGGCCAAACAAGTCGGAATGAACAAGAACTCACTGGCAAGTGATCTCCCCAAGCTAAGCACACCACCTCCCCAATTCGTCCGAAATCTTCGACCGAAACAATCAAATCTTTCGGCTGACCGTTGCACCGATTAAAGGGTGCGAACCACACCTTAGCAAGAAACGGACGATCTTGGAAGACAAGGTTCTCAGCTTCCTCTCTACGAACCGACTTGTACTGGTCAACATCGGTACCTAAAGGCTCTTGTGTCCTAGGATCGATGACAAAATTGCCCAAAAATGTTGGCCTGTCGTCTCCATGGTTTGCCGAGTAACTAGAGTCAATGTCAGAGTCATGGCTCGGACTACTCATGGGCGAATGGCACTGGCCTTCTTCAGTTCCGCCAGGAACTATAGTTCTACTGTCCCCTTCACAAGGCCAGGAAAAGGGACTAGTTTCCTGTTCGCAAAAGGTGGCCTCTGGTAGGGCACTTCCTTCTGCAGTGTGACCTGGCAATGCACTCACGCTGTAATGACCTGGGTCGGTATTCTGCTCGATTGGGCTCCAATCGGAGGCCCTTGATCTAGAAGGACAGCGCACGGTGCTTGTCAAAGAATCACACCAAACGGACCTGTCATGACAGTCCCGCCCCTCGTTGTCATCTTCTACACGGGCTGAACTCAAGTTACTAACAGACATAGCCCCCTGCTCACAAGCGTGGAAAACTTGGGTGGCATGCGAACTCGCTATGTTGAGGCACATGAGAACAGCTTTAAGTTTGATACTCTGAGGCTTAGATCCAAGCACGCACTTGCGAGAGTTGCAGACCCTTCTGCAGGGACCTATTCTATCACGCCTCCATTTCAACCCAATTCTCACAAACAAAAGCAAGAAGGCTAGCTCGGCTTGGACTCGGATTGCCACAGAAAGATAGTCTGGCTGGATATGCACACTGCCACTGACTAATATCTGGCACATCACAACTTGGATTGCTACCAGTAGAGCATACCCTAAGATAATCCACTGGATGAGCTTCCTTCTTCGATCGAAACCCCTAAGAGGTCGATCAACAAGCAAAGAATGTAACAAAGGACATGTTCGTCCAAATGCCGTGCAGAGTACGCACAAAAACAATGTACTTACCCCTGCAAAAAGGTTGGCATGCAATCGACTATCCGTAAAGGATGTCTCCGCAACTATACCATCAAACTCATCTAACCAAGACAAGTTTTCGATTCCAGTGAACACGAAGTCCTCCTGAATCTCATTCCATTCGAAAGCTGGCTCATGAAGGTCGGCTGCACTCAAATGGCAAACCTCTGTATCCTCCCGAATACACTTTCGATTCCCCCTCGACTCTAGAGTGCATGTCGCCTCTTGAAATTTGGCGCCAAGTGCAACTCCAGGAAGAGGTTCATATTGCCTCAGACCACGATTCGATCTGTAACCAACAGACTCCTCGCATCCATCGTGCAGGAAAAAGGGATCTTGACTTCCTACTTGTCGAGTCTCTCCAAACAATTGGAAGGATCTCTTCGGGGACTCCTTGATGTACTCCTTGAGCGAATCGGAACTGGAATATTTTGTTCCAGTAATGATTTCTCGGCTGCCGTTAGTAGCTTGGCTCGAGCTGCTCTGGCTGCCGCTTCGTCTGGAAGAATTTTCACCGACGATGTTTGCGGAGGTCGCGTAAGCTGAGGCGAGAGGTCGTTTGGCATTCCTTCCGGCCTCATCATACCCATTGCACCAGCATAGCTGTCGACCCGCTGCTGAAGATTTCTCATGATAGCGTGAGTCCGCTCGAGCTCCCTCTTCAGCGCTTCCTTCTCTGCATCTTCGACTGCCATGCTTTCTCCTCCATCTGTTTCTTTCATCACCATATTGTTGAGTTCTTTCTGAGCATCTGAGAGAGCTTCCTCCAGAGATAGCAAATCCGAAGCATGCTTCTCCTTTTCCTTCTTTCGATGAGCCTCCATTGCATCCAGAAAGATACTCCACGCCTCCTTCTTCTCGGCGACCTTCTGCTTCAACTTGTCGATTCTCCCAATGATCTTCTTTTTGAGATTCAAGCTCCTTTGCTCTGACTTGATCTCCTCCATGGTGTTGGAGTCGCTGTGCAGGAGTTCCACGATGTGTGGATCTACAGGAATATCCTTGGCCGCGAGAAATTCTCGCATTTCCTTCTTGATCTCCTGGACTTCCTTGGATTCCTTGGCTGCAGAAGAAGACGAAGATGACTGCAAAGACTCGTACGCTGGAAAGGCATCCTCTGCCTTTTCGTTCTTCTTTGCACTCTTGTCTGGCTTCGCTTCCTTCTTGGGCTTCGAGCCTTTTGGCTGTCCTTGCTGCTGCCATTTGCTCCACCATGGTTTCCCTTGAGCTCCTTTGTATTGACCTCCCCATCCCATGGGTCGGACGAAGCTGTGATGCCCCTGCAGAATGCGTCGGGCCCTCAAAAGCCGTCCTTGAAGGTCGTTGGACAGGTGGGTTATCCTCTGTTTCTTGTATCTTCGGAGTAGCGCCCTCGCTGCAGACCGCCTCGAACGCTGTCGGCGGTGCCACCCCGGGCTTCTACTCCTCCTCGTCTCGCCAAAGAAGTGCCCAGCTTCCCCACCACCAACCAGGATCAGCTACAATGGCGCACGGGATCGCAAAAACGAACCTTTCGGTTCTGGGGCTAAGCCTACAGCGTCGCTGTTGACGCGCACTGAGCCCTACTGACCCCACCAAGCTAAAAAGAAAAAAAGCCGCAACACACCACCATCTCCGGGTCTCTCCAAACTAAACCCCCACGCTCTCTTCGCGATTTTCTGACCACCCAGATCCCACAACATGGATGGGGGACAGCGCTTTCCGCCTTTGATGCTGTGGAACGCGTGCATCACTTCGGTGCCATCGCGGCCGTCGTAGTAGTCGATCCTTGCGCCAGCCCAGTCCGTAGCCAGCCAGCCCAGTCCCGCGAGAAGTCCGTGGTTTACGGCGACGGAACGGGCGGTTTTCTAGGGTCGCGGTCTGCTGGTTTGGGTGGGGCAACGTGAAATAGGCTTTTTGGGTCGGTGGGAAAATCTGGCTGCGCTTGCAAGGCATGGGAGACTTGGAGTGTTTTTGGTCGAAGTCTCCTTGCAGATTGCAATCAGCTCCACGAAGAACACATGTCTTAGCTTGCGCTCAAAAACTCGTTAGACATCGTTAGACTAAAACTTACTCTGCGCGCGAATCGGCCGTCGGTTGTTCCAAAGGGCCAGTGCTCTCCAGCAGGATGAGCCTTCCGCCAGCCAGAGAGGTCATACCAGGTGTCGTCCATGCGCACGTCCAGTGCAGTGCGGCAGCCTGGTCTTGGGAGAGGCGACGGATTCGACAAGCCAAAAACGAGCTCACCGTGCGGAGGCAAATGGTCTCCAAAGAAAGCCTCCGGAACCTGACGGAATAGACACACCCCAAAATAGACCAAAAGAAGATCAAAACAGTGGCCCCGACGGATCATCACGTACTCAGATCCCCACGAAGCATGTCTGGGAAACCGTTTCTATCTATTTGGGGACAACTATAAAGACGATAAAAAAATGGTGCGTTGAGGAACGTCTGAGACGTCCGCCTTACTCTCTGTGGGTTGCTTTGTCGGGGCGGGGATATCCCCGCATGGAATCTGGATTTTGAACACCCAACAAGCGAAAAAGAACCTTGCATAACGCTTGCGTATGTCCTGAACCCAGTGTCAACCTTTTAAGGTGAAGCCCTGGTTACAAAGCAAGTCTTGGACTTTGCTGGGTTTGGGAGGAATCGATAATTTGTACATGTGGTAACCATGTGTAGTTCGACTGGTGGGGGAGTCCACGGAGTCAGACATCCACAGATGGGATCTGGGTGACCCGGAATGGTTGTTGTTCTATTACTAGTAGCAAGAAGCTACTAAGAACAAGAAGCTACTAGTAACAAGGTGCCGTACTACTACTACTAGTTAACGGGGTGAATCTTGTTCCACCACACAGGGCACTGTGAAAACGAATGTGAGGCGATGGAAGTTGCTCATCAAACGATGATCAGACACAAACAAGAGCCAAACACCACGTTGTGACAAGCCAAACACGCAAAGCAACGTTTTGGGGGTGTATTAGGGTAGTCCGGTTCCTCTTTTGACCGTTGATTGCGACCATCCACCAAAGCTCTATTCCAGTCCCGTTCTCTGTCAGACATTGCCTTTCGGTGGGCACTCTTCCACCACACACTCGCCAGTCTCCTCGTGAGAACCCCACACCAAAGGTTGCAAAACGGATCCCAAATCAAACCCCAAACGTTCAACACCCAAAGTCGGCTGCAAGCAGGTCTTCAGGTTGACATCTTCCCCGATAGAGAAACCATGTGACGTATTTCTTTTGACTGCAATGGAGTGAGCAGTGCTCAAGCAAACGTGTCAAAAGGTGTTTGAACCGGGTCGAACCGTGGTAACCGGGTAAGCCCAGACCAACGAACTCCGAGAGCTGCTTTGATGCCATCTATCGGTTTTCTTACAAAAAAGAACGCTCCCAGAGGTGATTATGATATGGAACGCGTGGGAAAAACGCGAGTATCTGGCCAAAAACAGGCCATATGAACCTACAAGTCTATTCCGGTCTCCCCCCTCCGCAGACGATCCGGAATTCTCAGAACTGACCTGTCAATACGGACCATTTTCCAGCAAAGAACCCGGTTTTGGGACGTTCCATGTGCTCCGGTGTCACCTCACGCCACGGAAGTTTCCTACGGAGCCCGGAACGGCTCTCCTTGCAGGTGTACTGGGAGCCATCGGGTGCTGGCTCCTGCAAGGGCGGTGAGCAGGGAGTGGAAGTCCTGAGGTTAAAGACTGAGGTAGTCCTGGGTCTTGGCATACTCGTAATATAAGCACACAAAAAGAAGATATACGTTACATAGCTTCGTTACTCTTGCAGTTGCAAGCTCACCTTCCAACCCTGGTTCCCTGTTTCCCCCTTCACAGCTAGTTATACAAATCTAGCACTCTATCTAGCACTCTAGCATGCCTGACCAAAAATTCTGCTCCAACCGTTCAGCTTTCAGGCACTTCACCATCACAGAAAGTGAGGGCACCGGACAACTCACATGATACGTCATGATACTTCTGAACAGTATGTTTAAAGTTTAAAGTATTTCGTGTTGTCCATTCCCAACGATGCCACCAGGCAATCACTGCAAGTTCATGAACCAGGCAGCAATTCGTGATATTCTTTCAGGCCAAGCACTCCAATGGCTCCCATAAACGCACATCATCCGGGGTTCCAATCGCGAGGGTGCTTGTCTTGTTTTCTGAACCCATGAACTGCACAGGATGTTAGGTAGATTCTTGATTCTTAGGATGTTAGGTACATTCTTGATTCTTGATGAATAAAACCAACTTGTGAAGTCGGTTTATCAATCCAAATTGAGGAGAGTGTTCTTTATTAATGATGCTCGTCTACATTCCCCCCCACCTCCTGAATCAACTCTGGTCCTTAGGCACGGGAGGCCCTTGCAGTCGTTCCAGCCTTGGTGCTCTCCGTCTTGGACCTGCAGTCGGATGGAGGTGGAGGGGCCAGATCAGGGTCTTGCTCCAGAACACACCGACCTAAGCAGACTCGTCAAAAAAAGAGAGACAGGGCCAGGGCTCCTACTATTCTAGATCATTGATTCTTCTATACAAAAGTCCTAAGCAGACTCGTCCATTTGGCTGTGGAAGTGGAGGCCTTCTCTCAAACGGGCCTTCGCCTGGTTTCCTATCAGAAGCAGGTTTCGGGGCCCCTGGTGCCGAACGCTCGGGTGGATCCTAACCAAAGAAGAGGTCATCCCGGAACTCCCTGGTGCCAGTTCTTTGTTTGGAAAATCAAGGTGAACTTGACTGTTCCGAAAGAGAGCTTGCACAGCCCTTTGTACCCTATCCATCCCTATCCCATACCATTCTTAGGTCCCACAAGGTCTCTCAACCTCTCTTAAGCTTGTTTGAGGATCTTTGGGAAACCGGTCCGGCTTGTGTCACCGCGACGCAAGCCGGACCCACGTCCGTGTTCCCGCGGCCTGGCCATAGGAATGAGGTGACGGCCTTACCGGGCAAATGCTGCGACCGTTCGGAAGGGTGACGACCGGAACCGCTTCGGTCTCCTTCGGGCGGAGCACCCCGAAGGAAGGGTGGAGGACCCCGTAAGGCTCCGCGGTTCATGTGGTTTTTGGGTTCACATCGTCACGGAGTCTCACGGTATGTTCTCGATTGGTGATGATTGAGAAAGTAACCAAGCTTTGGGAGAATACGTGTAAGTCAAGTATGATCTCGTGCACATCTCCGGCAACTGCGGGTCCAGTATCTTCAAATCAGATCACATCAGTGGATAAGCCGCACGCGGACCTTGGGGTTCAAAAGCCGGCGACATGTCACACATATCCCCCGAACAGGAAGTCGAAGCCTCGCCCAGTTCTGCGCTTGGCTGAAATCGATGTCGCCCACCGTCGATGTCGACGTTGTTGCGGGGCTGGGCTTGGTGGTTTTCGTTGGGGAAAAGTCTGTAGATGGGAGAACTCCATCTATCTCTCTAAATATATATATATATATGTAATATATACTCTTAGAGAAGGAGACTTGACTAAAACCTGGCTACCAAACTCATCACGCCGGCCACTTCAGAGCTTGTCTCACCATGAGAAGGGCGAACGAACACAAAGGGTCTTTCAAGTCTTATCCGAGAAAAACAGTACCTTTATTGTTACTGTAGTAGTAAGGCCAGGAGCCCCTAGTAGCGTCCTTGCTCCTAGTAGCGATGCCAGGAGCTAGCGTCCTTCAAGCATTGGGAGTGTCGCAGTGTTGAGGCATGACTGATGCAGCCAAAGCACAAAGGGTGCCACTAGGACAAGCAGGAGAGCTCCCGTGCGGGCCACCATGGTGAAGTGCCACGCCACTATGAAATGAAATAGGGGTTGTACCAACTGGATCTCCCTGCAATCTGGAAGGGATGAGGTGTGATGAGGTCAGTGGAACTCCCTCCTCTAGACTAAAGGTATAGAACTCAGTGAGGAGAGCCCAGTATCATCAGTATCATCCATATCAATCCATATCATTTAGCTGCTCCATGTGAGTAAAATCTGGGCACACAGAACCGCCCTTGGTTGAAGAAGTTTCGCCGAAAAAAGAAAACAATGCTGAGAAAGGATCAGATCACTACTATAAGTAGGATATTCCACCTGACCACATGACTGGCCCATTGGCAGCATCATGGTCCAGTCTGAAGCTCTAATGGCTGCAGCCAGGCTCCAACCTTTTGCAAACTCATGTCTGAAGCAACTCTGATAGCAAAATGTCATATGATTTCCAACTGAGACACAGTCTTGTCACCCTTCGACCACTTTTTACCTAGCACACCAACCTCTTACGCTTTTTGCCGCAAGGTGTCTTTGTCAGTTGATCCTCTTCTTCCAAAATTGGAGCCTTGGAAATCCTCTTCGCCCTTTACTTTCTTGTGAGATGGGTTCACTCTGTCTAATCTCCCCCAGTCCCAACTGTCCTTTCGGTGATTCAATTGTTCAAGAAGTCCATGACACTGTCCATGACCTTTCGATTTTTATGGGGTCACCATCAGGAACTCGGTTGCTGGGAGAGATGGACTCGATTTGGTCATGCTCCGAGTTCGGTTGCGAAGCAGCTGGTGTTTTCAATGAAGAAAGCCGTGACAACTCAAATCCCGCTTTTGACTCGAGCCGAATCCAGGCATCTGATAAGTTGTTGTCAGACAGGGTGACCTACTAATTAGGGAAACCCTAAAACCCGATGAAAAGAGCTTCTCTTCATTCCTCCCATCGGCCGGACGTCCGTCCCACCTGCACGGCTGCCTTCGTCACAGCCGGCTCGGTGGACTGGACGCTGTTCGTGGGTCACGTGACGGACGTGACGTGGGTCCCGCCCGCGTGATGGGGGCAGGCCGAGGTGACAGGGGTAGAAGTAAGGACGTACACTCCGTGAAGTACATGTTTTTCTCATGCTTACATGATGTTACATGTTGTGATTTACCATGGATATGACACAGCTCAGAATCACAGCATGGTATTTACATGGATATGATTGACATGAGTATGTAGGACATTGCTTTTAGAGGACCATGGCTTCAGCCATAGTCCGAAGACCAAACAGGTGATGTTCACTCCACTTAACCATGATTGTTTCAGAACATGTCGTGCACCCTGAACTATCCCAAAGAAGTGCCGGGGTTTCCGCCCTTGGATAGGGACGTGCGTTTGTAGACTATAGGGCACGTCACGGACATAAGCGCCAGGAGGCAGACGGTCGTCAGCCTCCTGGCGCTGAGGGGGAGATCGGGAGAGGCGTTTTGTCTTCATTCATGGTCCAACCCTGGTCCAACCCTTTTTCTGGGCGTCCATGTCTGTGAGTCCCAGGTCAGTTGACTTTCAGAAAGTCACTGAAACATCAGCGCGCGGAACTCCTCTTTCCTACCCCGCGTGACGCAGTTTCCAGTCTTTTGCTGGATCTGTGCCGTGCAACTTCCACCATGCAATAGGCCACTTGGCCACCAACCTTGGCAGGCTGCACAGCACTGTTTGTAAACTCTTATTTATAGAAAGTCTCACAACGGTCAGGAGGGCAGAAACAAAGACAGAACACACAAAAAAAATAATCAGCAAGCCTAATACATATGTTCCATTATCATTATCCAGTGTGAGTCTTTAATATACTATATTATTGACACATTCTTTGTATTTGGTAACTTTGCGCAAAAGACTCGCTTTTCAACGCCTGCAAGACTTGTTTCAGTCTCGGGTTGCAGTCAGAGCCGAGAGTGCTATTTCTCTTCATGGCATGGATGGACATAAACGTTCGATTCCGCTGACCCGGGATTCGGTGCGGCGTGGCCTGTGTCTTGAAAATGGACAATTGGACAAATGGATGAAGTCGCAATCGCGATCCCAATGCAGACTGCACACTCATCCACAATCCACACGTGTCCCTGCCACCACAACCTAACAAAGTTCGAGGCGCACTGCACACCATTTGAACAAAGTGCCAAAATGCATAGACTCTGACGCTTGACACAAAGACTGTTTGATTTGATAATTCAGTTGGGATGGATACGAGTAATGCTTGAGACTTGAGTCAGGGATTTCCAGGATTGCCGGGTCAGCTTGTGGTCAGCCAGCCTGAGTCTACTGATTCAACAGAATAATCAACAAACAACAGATAGACAAATAGACAAATAGCAAATATATACTAATGGTTTATTGCATGAAGCTCAAATTCTGATGCAATGATGATGACGATGACAATGATGGGTGAGAGTGAGAGGGTGACAAACAATCTGCCAACAGTAGCGGTGACTGACTGATTCACATTCCGGGAACGATATCCGGAACAATATGACCATTGTCATACCATGTGGTGCCCAGCTATACATGAGCATCTATTACTTCAGCAAGTGCTTTGCACTTGCCAGTAGCCTGCGGCGGTTTGCCTCAGCCTTTTTCTCCTCTTTGGTAGCTGCGGCAACCTTCCATTCAAGCCCGGCATTCTGCATCTCAGAGTGTCGTTCGGATGAAGCGGCGCTAAACCCGAATTGTGGGTGACTCGGTTCTGGAGCAGGGGGGGCTGCCAGGCCCTTCTTGGCTTTGGGCACAAACCGAATCAAGGGCATGACTGTTTCCTCATCACTCATCATCTGCTCGACCATCTGTGACATTGGCACCAACCTTGTGACGACGTGTCACAATGTCAAGCCGCGTCAAGTGAATTAAAGAACACTATGGACTATACACAATGATGCACAATAAATGTGTCATAACCTCATCACCGCAATTGTCTTCAATTTACCAATAAAAATGAACCCGAGTCGTAGTTAATCGTTCCTTCCTATTCCTTCTCATTCCTACTCAGCTTTGCGACAGCAGTAGCCGTCTAACCTCATGTTGATGTAGTCCAGTAATCAATGCGCCGCCAACTGACTTATAGAAACATTGTTGAGTTTCTGGTTTGATGATTAATAAATTCATATAGTGCTGGAATGCTGGACAACTGGACAACTATCAAACGACTTTCCAGATATTGGTTTAATTCAGTTTAATTCTTTCTATGTGCATGTTTCCTTCAGGCTTCAGGTCATATTCAGTCAGCCCAGAAGCATTTTGATGTCCAGCTCAGCCTTCGTGATTGATGGCGGTTGCGGCTGCTGAGAACGCACAAGTTGCCACCCTGACTCATAGTCTGACTGCAGAAGAACCGTCATGTCGCTCATCACAACCTGGGCCATGCATTCATCCATTCAGTAAATTAGGCAAGCCAGTAAGCCAGTGAGTGAACTGGAATGAAAAGCGGAAACCGACAAGACAAAAACAACAGCGCAGCCTAACCCAAATGCAGGCCAGCCAAGGCACAATGGGGACTCTGTGAAAATCTTCGATCATCGTTGCGACGGTGGTCTTGTTCGTCGTAGTTGCAAGCCATGCCGGAACAATCAAGGAGCTTGTTGGAGAAGGAAGGGGTACAGGATGCACGTAGAAGTCCACGTCAAAGATGGTTGCAATCTTGAGTGAGTTGTTCCCTTTCAGCGTCGACACCGGTCCTGCAAAGGGAAAGTTGAGCAGCTTGACGTCAGCCACAAATGGTTTCTCCGCGCCACTTTTGTTGTTTTTGTCAAAGACCGTCAAATCGATCAGAACTCTCTGAGAATCAAGATCTTTCTTCACTTTGGCTACCTTTGCCTTGCCAGCACTGACAGCGGCCGATTCCTCTTCAGCTGATCCAAAGTTCCAAATAGTTGATCTCATGGCAATGTCTGTCACCATGCGGACGTACTTCCAAAGGGCCGACTCTAAGTTGAGTTCCAATCTTTTCAAGTGTGTGCTGTCAAGGCACCCTGACTCCTCAAAAAGCTCTTTGTAATGGTTGGCTTCTTCAAGAGGTTTCAGGCCTGCCAAAGAAATAGACCTCAAAGTCATGCGTTCCCTGACCGTCGGCTTTGTTTTCACATTGCCCTCATCATCATCATCAGCGTTCTCACCCGGTTCCTCTCCAGTGCCAGCATCAACATCGGCCTTTTCGTCTTCACCACTCTTGGAAGTGGCAAGATCAGGAGCAAATGTTTTGAGGTAGCTGTAGGCTCCCTCTTGGGTCTTTGTATCCAGAAAGCTTGCCCAATTTGCCGCCCATGTCTCATTGCCTCAAAGCAAATGCAGTGGCATCCGGTGCCCGTGAGCTCGTGAGCTTTTACGCTACCCGCTACCTAACAAATATTAACCATTATTGACATGACATGAGAAGTCTTGAAAGAAATGGATACCTTGCTCCTAGTGCCCGTGGCATTGATTAGGCATTCGGCATTCAGCTAGCAGCAAGCACAAACTAATCAAACCAAAGCACTTTGCAGTACGTCAAAGGCTGCAAGGAGCATGGCCACAGGGTGTGCTTTCTTGGCTTTGGCAGCTACATCTGCGGAAGCCGGCGAGCTTCTAGCCTTGATAGCTTGCTCAATGTTCTCCATCAAATGACCCACCTCAACGTGCAAGAAGGTAATCACAAGGTTGACGGAGGGTGAAAACTTGGTCTTCCTGATGTTGGCAAGATCTCGCAAGAGTGTCAGGTTGTAGAAGGACCGGACGAGCAAAAACTTTTCCAAGAGGTACTTGTTGTCTCCGAAGACCTTCCCACTGTCAGCCACAAAGTCCAACCTCACCGAATGGAGTTCTGAGACGTCAGCAGCAAAAGCAATCCAACTTGGAGGCAGTGCCACACTCAGCTGAGCAGAGATCCGCTGCAAGACTTGCATAGGGGTACTGTCCTCACTGATGCTTGAATCTGTTGCTAGCTCCTGCTTGGCAGTGGAGAACTTGTTGTGAAATTCCAGGGGCAGCACAAGGATGTTGTTGATGAACGCTTGCATGCC